CGCTTCATAGCTGATTTGGAGTCAAAATATCGAAGCGCGTAAGCGCTGCGTAGTCGTCTAACGTGTAAAAATTGTTACGGAACCCATATAAATGTACACAAAATTTGTATTCAATAATGTGTCTCCGAAACGGCTGGACCTGCATTTGTTAAAAACTAATCAGCACGTCTCCTTATCAGTAGAAATCGAATGTTTTTTGAATTATTCAAATCAGTTGATCCGTGTTCGCAAAATCGTCGGCAAAATATATAAAAATTTTCATTTTAGAATTTTTTCGATTACTATAACTTACCCTACTGGAAGTTGAAAATGTACTCTATATTTGAAATATTTCTTACGTGTTGTTATAAATAATTATCAAATTTAACAGCCCAGATTATTTTTTACTTTGATTACTTGATTCAATAAACTCTACGATCAAGTATTGTTGCAAATCATTACTAATTTGCATAATTAAATATATTAGGGTTAATATGGTTTAATATGTTTCAAATCACTCATTTAAAATAATTCTGAAGTATTATTTTCAATATTATTATCATCATATTCATTTTTCCACAAAGCCCAAAATGTTTGACTCTACATTTTACTTGAGTTTAATGAAGTGACATATAGAGTCACATTTTAATGATCACTCTACACTTTTCAATATCGTTGTAAATCATTACAATACATACATTAATATGTTTTAAATCGCTCAATTAAAATAATAGTTCCGAAGTTCATTATTTTAATTTGCATTATTTTAAATAATTAAATTAAATTCGAGTTTAATCAAATAATATGTAGAGTCACAATAAAATGAGTACTCTATATTTTTAAATATCGTTGTAAATCATTACTAATTCGATTAAATACATATATTAATAATGTTTTGAATCACTCAATTAAAATAATAATTCCAAAGTTCATTATTTTTGAATTATTTTTAATAATTAAATTAAACTCGAGTTTAATGAAATAAAATATAGAGTCACAAATAATGATTTTACATCTACATTTTTAAATATTGTTGTAAATAATTACTAATTCGTAGATATACATACATTAATAATAAGTTTTGAATCACTCAATTAAAATAAAAGTTCCAAAGTTCATTATTTTAATTTGTATTATTTTAAATAATTAAATCAAACTCGATTTTAATCAAGTGAAGTATAGAGTCACAATATAATGATCACTCTACATTTCTAAATATCGTTGTAAAACATATTACTAATTCGTATAAATACATACAATAACAATGATTTAAATCACTCAATTAAAATAATTCCAAAGTTCATTATTTTAATTTGTATTATTTTAAATACTTAAATTAAACTTAAGTTTAATCATGTGAAATATAGAGTCACAATATAATGATTACTCTACATTTTTAAATATTGTTGTAAAATTTATAAAAATATTTAAAAATGTAGAGTAATCATTATATTGTGACTCTATATTTTGATTTACAATGTATATCATTACTAATTCGCATAAATACATACATTATGTTTTGAATCACACAATTAAAATAAAAATTCCGAAATTCATTATTTTAATCTGTATTAATTTAAATAATCAAATTAAACTCGACTTTAATCAAGTAAATATAGAGTCACAATATGATGAAGACTCTACATTTTTAAATATGGTTGTAAATCATTACTAATTCGTATTAATACATACATTAATATGTTTTAAATCACTCAATTAAAATATTAATTTCAAAGTTAATTTGTATTTTAAATAATTAAATTAAACTCAAGTTTTATCAAGTAAAATATAGAGACACTATATATAGATCACTCTACATTTTTAAATATCGTTGTAAATTATTACTTCTATTCGTATAAATACATACATAGAGTTTATTATTCTAATTTGCATTATTTTAAATCTTTATCATTTTCGCGCGAATTCGCTCAGAATTTCTGCGCATGTGCAACTTCACTTACCTTGGCGTTTCAAGTCACTTTGACGTTCTTTTAGAGGTTATGTTTGCCAAAATACCGGAATCAATTTACACAGTTATTTCACGTAAAAATCCTCATTTTAATTGTTAACTGATCACAAATATCACTATACACACTTATAAAAATACTATATACGAATTAAAATAATTTATTTCTTTAAATTTCTTTAAATAACATTTTGTTTACAGACACCGCTGTAGAGTGACCGCCAGACTGACATTTACAACACAACTACAGTTTTATTACAGTGTTATTGACAACAGCGCATTTGTATCGTTAGTAGTACAGTAGTACTCTTCATTAAAGATTGATTACAAAATGACTTGCGATTTCTCTTTACTGGATCAATGTACAATCACAAGATGACTTATGAAAAAATTAAAATATTATCAAATTGTATTAATTTATCTGTTATAGCAATCATATCAATAATAAATGAATATTTACGTTAATTGTGTATACAATGATCGTGTTGATTTTATTTTTAACTTTCAAGAAGGGCATGCTTGTTTTTGCCAGGTACTCTGAGTTACTAATTGATGTTTCAAGTCATTTTGAATCGTTTGACACCAAATTTGTAATTATTGTGTGCCAATATATGTAAGCCAAAATTTTATCTATGTTTGCCGATTTCTTAAATACGTTTACGCCAATTTAAAAAACTATTTTAATCTCTTTCATGAAACTCGTTTTTTGACGATTTTTTCTTTAATTTCTTTTTAAAAATTTGGCTAAATCAATTGTGATACAAATTCAAAGATGGCAAAATAAATTACTTAAAGAAATTTTGAATTCCCCCTCTGGGGTGGGCCAGACTGTTTTCAGATTACTATTTTCAAAAATAACCCGAAATTTTTGAAATGATATAAGAAAATTAACAAAAAATAATTTTCATGCACATTTGTACATAATATTGCAATTGTTGACAAAATTAAGGGAGGCACAATATTTTCTTTATTATGGCAAGTGGATCATCTAAACTGTTTGCTAGAGAAACGCTATAACACTATAAGGGCAAGAATAAAAATGAAATTCATGTTTCATTATCACATGTCAATTTCCAAATACCCTGAGAAGAGTTGTATTTTCAGTCATTTTTTTCCTTACAGTTTTGTTGTTCATTTCAAGAATGCCGTAAAAAATACTATATAATAATAATAAAAAAGCTAAGAATTCTAAACCGAATTTGGTAGTTCAAAAACTATTCTATGCCAGGGATCGTGATGATTAGTTTATGGTAGAGATCGGCTGGGTCGTTTCTTACTAATTATTATTGTTTTTTGACAATTTTAATGAAACTTTGCATGACGATAAATTGTCTTAACGAACATTTGAAATATCTAAATTATTATTATTAAGTTTACAAAATGTCTCTATAATTAAAACAAATAAAAATATTATAAGTTTGTGGTATATCTATTGAAAATTGGATTGATCAGTAGGATCAAAAAGTATTTTGTGAAAGCAAAATTTTTTCTTTGGAAATAAAAATTTCAAAATATTATACAAATAGCTAATTCTCAATTCGTATCGAATTGATATAGCTGATTTTTGATAGAGCAACTATAGCTAATTTCCATTGTACAATGATAATAAAGTATATTTACTATTCTAAATTCAAAAAATTAAAATGTCAATAAGTAACTGCACTAAATTAATTTTATTAACAAAAAATACAATATAAATAATTAATCTTTTCAATAAATAACACTTAATTAATTTTAATAAATAAAGTTACATAATTAATAATAATAAATAATTGCACCTAATTAATTTAAATTTAATTAATATTAATAAATAAATGCACGTAATATTAATAATTGCACATATGGTTAATGGACATCTATATGTAACTTAGTCATGCATTTTTTTGGGTTGTATTCTATCCTTTTGTCGCAGAATATGATCTGAAATATCAAATTTTTAATTACTTGAGAACACTTTAATACATTTTATTTTATTTACTAAAACTGATAGTTTTGATAAATTAAATTAAATAAACTATACTCATGTATATTGGGCACGTTGTGAATTCTTGTAATATAGTAGTGAACTTTGAAAATTTTTTTTTGTATGTATATATTTGTCAATCAATTCATGCATTATGTTTTAAGACTGTGCTGGTCTTTATACCTTTAAAGAGTTGATCTACAATTAAATATCTCCTTTTTTTAATATTTTATTTTATTTTAAATCATATGGCCATTTTTTAAATCTTTGATTAGGATATTCCTCACTCTATTTATTGATATATTTGTTTGGGTGACCTGATAATTTTTTGTGGTATTTTTTGCAATTTTGACCATTTAGTGAACAATTAGTAAATTTTGACACTGAAGCTTTTTAGTTTCAATAAATGGTTGAATTATTTAAATAATTTAATTATTTAATAAGTTGTCATCATTTTGTTTAGTTAAATAAACCTTTAATTGTCAATTTTATTAGAAAAAGTCTAATAAATACATATTTTAAACGCAAAATCAATTATTTTAAACATCGAATACTACGGTTACTTCAGAAAACTAGTTTTTTTTATCCTCAAAACTGTCAGTGTTTTAATTCTTCGAGTACTTCTCATAATATTTATAAAATATACATATATATAAATATTTTGAACAAAAGAAAAGAAGCCTAATAATTTTATTAAATCGTAATTATTTGAATGCAGCAATAAAATTGTCATGGTTTTATTAAATTTGTATGTACAAAATTTTAAGAAGTATTTTCTTTGATATAAACGAATTTGGTATCTCTCAATACCAACAAAACAAAAATTAGAAAATTAGTTGCAGGTGGAAGCCAAATTATATACTACAATTTCAACAACTTATTTAAAAAATCACTCACCCGATATGGGGATTATTTTTTAATTATGTAATTGTTAATAGAAACTTTCAGAGTAATTCTGATAGCTATTGTTCAAAAAAGTAAATAATGATATTCAAAGATATCAAACAAAAAATGCTTTCCAATGATGACAACAAGAATATTTATCAAAAAATTATCTCACCTGTATCACACGGCAAAGTTTTTCGATATCAATCATCTACAGTTATAAAGTGTATTTATTCTGAAGATATCAGATTGGCTCAATCCGGGCTTGTTATATGGATCTGTGAGTCTTTCATTTGTCTTCAGTGCTGTCATTGTCTTAGAGACGCCATCCTGAGGGTCAAATAAAATAAATGTTCACATTAAGGGATGGTAGAAACAGAATCATCAATAATAAATGTACGAAACGGTCCTTTGGAGTTCTCAAGTATTTTGTCTAAGTGGCGATTAAGATTGATAAATCGAGTTGTATCAAAATTGCGTAAGGGTTCACAGTTGTGCAATTATGACAATTTATATTACATTTTTCAAATGGTTTATTGTCGAAATGTAGGTCAATCAATTAACCAGTAAGTTAGAATTGATATTCTAGTACTTTATCGGCAATGCGCATTTAATTGATTTAAATAATGCGCGGGATCCTGTTTTGTTCAATTAATTTAGCTATTTTTATAGAATGTACCAGCGCGAACTCTTTGAGGACCTAAGTCCTCAAGAGCCCAAATTGTTTGAAAGGTCCAAATTTTCCTTTATATATCATGTATAGATGATTCAATTTATTAACATCTCGAAGAAGAAGTTTGTCTTTGCCAGAAAATCCATTTGACTAATTTTGTTTTCTACGTGTTTCCAGCCATTCTGAATCGTTTGATAGAAAAATGGGTAAACTTCTGCTAATTATAAAGAAACGGCTTAACCTATCGCAGCGCAATTTTGGTAATAAACGCAAGCAATTATCCAGCTACGTCAAATGGCTTTTATCTTCTTAAAATAAGTTCGGAAGTTTTTGATTAAAACGTAGACAAAAATAAAAAAAATTGCTCACATATTCAAACGCATGTTGTCTAATTTAGGTCTGAAACGAGTCGGAATGACTTGAAACGTTGATAAAACGTAAACTGTCTGATTTCAAAAATCGTGGTGATATGAAATTTATCATTGCCCGAAAAATTGCATAAAATATTATCACATATTATCGTACAGCCATTTTTTAGCATTTATCATAAAAGGTATACTATTTTTTCACCGTGACGAACATAGCAAAACCATTTGAGAAATGTCACTAAAATACAATTCACTTGATGAAAACACGAATTTCTACAAAGACGAATTTTTAAAGACATAAAGAGATTTAAAAGATTGAATTCGTCTCGAGGTATCACTATATGCCACAGAAGACGCACGTCTAGACTCGAAAACATGGGAAAGTGATATTGAGTGAAAAACGTATGTTCTTTTCTTTCTTTCAGAAAAGAAAAGTAAATCACAAAAGGTAACAAAGTGAAAACAATATTTAAAATGACTTCGGGATTTGTTATGCAGAACGGTTTGTACAAGGGATTTTTTCTTGCAAAAAGTTTAAACGCGATGGCTGTAAGTGAGATTATAGGATTAAACATTTTTCCTATTTAAATGTGTATCGCTTAAGTTATAAGAATTAAAAAAGTTTGTGGACTTTAAGCTTGTAATTTGAATATCAACAGAATAATTTCAGAAACATTGTTCAGTTTGCGTTGTAAATCGTATACTTTTCTCAGAACCCCTACATAATATTATCATAGAGTAGAGCGGTCCGCGGGTAAAAAAATCCACCATCATCTCAAAAATGAGTAAAAATAGGAAGTTTTCAAAAATATTTGTAAGTAGAGTAAAAAATATGTGTAATCAACCAATCACCTTAAATCTAACAACGTTGTTATAAGGATCTAAATGGCAATGTTTTAAAATCCGCAACAAAAGTACTTTCCTTCGTTGTTAGTGTTTTTGTTGTGAGCACTGTGGTTTAGTTTACAAGGCCTTTATTTAATATTTAATATTTAATTGTTTAATAAAATGTAATTTTAATTTTAAGTTAGAGTCAACTGATATTTTTATAAGACCTTTATAATAGCTCACATGTGGGAAAAGTAAAAAGGACCATCTATCATCTTGGCAAATGGCAAAAGCGTAACCAATAAAAAGTGAATAAAATGTAATTTGGATTAAAAAATGAAAATGAATTAAACTATTGTGTGAATAAATGTAAAGTTCAAGATAGCTTAATTTTGTTACCTTCGCAAATGCGCGTTCTCCATAAATCATGATTGATTTATAATCAAATTTATTTATCAGGACGGTCTGACTTGCAGGCAACTTCTCAAATTGTCTTCTCATTGTCTGAAAAATTAGTAATTTATTACAAACACATAAAAAATGCATATTAAATTATATTAAAATTTGCTTAACCAAATTTTGCCTAACCAGAAAAACAAAAACAAACTCAATAAATTATTTGATTCAAACTCAACAGTCATTGAAGATGAAAAGACAGAAATTATAAGACTTCAATTATAATGGAGAAGAATTACTTATAATAATATCGAAATACTTATAATAATATCGGAATTAATAATATCGGAGATTTTTGTTGTTTTTAAATTATTTTTAACTTTTCGTAGGGTAAGATATAGTAATCGCAAAAAATCGAAAATGAAAATTTTTGTATATATTTACGGTTCAAAGATTTTCGAACAATTGGCATACCTTAGAAAAAATGAATGTGAAAATAGAATTTGCAACAACTAATTACATGGAAACCGACCGTCTGATCTTTACCAAAAACTAATTGTGCTAGTTGAATTTATCAAGAAATCATATACTGTTATTAAATCAAATGAAATACAAGAATTTAATCATAACTAATAACATAATTAACTAGTGGAGCGCATGGCATCGTGCCTTAAGGCAAATTGCTGGAACTTCTTTCCGTACCAATTTTTTTTTTTAAAGATTAACATTTTTGAAAAAAATTTACTTTGAAAATATTAGATTTTTGAGAAACTACAAATTTTTGAAAAAAATATTATTTTGAAAAAGACTTTTTGATAAAAAAGTTTTCTTTATTTGAAATATTTTGGAAGTTCTGAACTTTTTTTTCAAAGCAATCGTACTGCTTTAACTGCATAGAAACGAAATATCGAAGCGCGTAAGTGCCGCGTCGCCGTCTAACAAATAAACATGGGTACGGAACCCATAGGAATGTAAACAAAATTTATATTTATTGTTAAAATCTCTATAAAATATCTGATAATTTTATGTGCATATGTCTAATGATCATTTTTGACGGCCAAATGGCATTTTTTTACTTTTTACTAGATCTCTGAAACCGCTAGACCTGCCTTCATGAAAATTTAATCAGTTGTTCATCTTATCAATAGAAGTAAAATGTTTTTTCAATTACTAAAATCTGACATTCCGTTCTCTTAAAACCTGAGTTACCGCTTGTAGGACTTTTGGCATCTTCGAAACGGCTAAACCTGCCTATGCCAAGAACTAATCAGCACCTGTTATCAACAGCAATCGAATGTTTTTTGAATAATTGAAATCGGTTGAACCGTGTTCCCGTAATCGTCGACGAAAATTTGTATCCGCACACACACACGCACATATACACACACATACATCCATTTTTCTAAGGCATGCCAAAATATTTAGAAACCTCTGAAACGTAATAAAAAAATTTTTCATTTTCGATTTTTTTGCGATTACTACAACTTACCCTAAGTTAAAAATATCTTCTGAAGATTTATATCATAGTAAATGTTATATTATAAAATTTCGTTTTAACAGTCTGCTCAAAATCTGCTTCAAAAACAAAAAAGCCATTAAAAGAAAATCATTATGCATTTACTTACTAAAGCAATGTTTTCCCAGTGGATTTGCAAAAACTCGTCTCGATCAGACCGATTTTGTTCATGATAAAAACCTATGGAATGGCCCAATTCGTGAACGGCCGTTCCCACATTGTGGCAGCCGCGCCCCAATGATACGGGCTGCTCGCCAGATGTAACTCCTACGTGAGCGTAACAGCCGCCACTAAAAAATTGAGAGATCAATTAATCACCTTTACGTGAAATGATCTATTTGAACACTATTTTAAATTGATATATTGAATATCTCTTTCATAAAGATATTTTTTAAAGCAGATTTTAATGTAGAAAATGTTGGCGCTTAAAAAGTAATATAAACCTATAAAATATCCCATAAGTAATACTGTAAATGATATTATTAGTTGTTAGATAGGAGTATGGGATTTATACAGGGTTTCTAAAACTTCACGCCAAGCCGAAACGGGGTGTTAGTATTAGTTGATATACCTTAACCGTGAAAAAATTAAAAAAACTCACATTGTCTGATAGCTATGAGCTAGTGATGGGCTGAATCGACGAACGGTTATTTTCAACCGTTTCTTGTTCGTTAACGAACTAACCGTTTCGTCGCAACGAAATAACTAGTTGAAAATCAACTGGTTTCGAAATAGTTGAAAACATGGCGACCAGTTAGTTATTCAACGTACGCAGGTACCTAGAACCTAGGTCTGAAGTCAGAAAGGATCAACTAATACTATGAAAATCGCTTATTGTTAGGCTACTGCTTTTATAATATTGCAGATGTACGGGTACATATTAAAAGAAACTTGCAACATGCGCTAAATTTTTTAATTTTAGAAAATCAATTACATTTATTCAATGGTTAATGTTTTTTCATAAAATTCTCATAACATTTGTTTTGTAATAATGTTTTTAAACCAAACCTGAAAATTGATTTTTTATTTTTCATAACATTTTTATGTAACTATATATTTTTATATTGCTATTTTTATATAACATGTAAATTCGATGTTGTAGTATATGGCTTCGCTGTAACGAAAATATATTAAACCTTAGTATTAATAATAATAAATGTGATATATATATATATATATATATATATATATATATATATATATATGAGTGAGTTCTTGAGGGCGATACATCAAACAAAGAGTATCGCCCTCAAGAACTCACTCATATATTTCAACATCAAATTAACTACTAAATCATATATATATATATATATATATATATATATATATATATAAATGTGACAATTCACATTTATTTCTTTTTATTCATCAAATCAGTTCACAAACTCAACTTGACTTTTATAATAACAAACTTCATATTACCAACTTTCAATGAAACACGATTGCCCCAAGTTTTCAAGAATTAAGACATTTCATATAACTATGAATATAAAACCTTGAGAGGCCCATCCTTAAAAAATGTCCTAAAGTCTGTAAGTAAGTTTCATCAAAAGCTGGCGCAGGGTTGTAAAATAGTAGAATACTTGATAATATTATAATAGAAAAAATTCGAGTAAAAAATAGAAACCTAAAAATAATAAAAATAAACATAAATATAATTTTACAATCCTGATTAAATGCTACAACTTATGATAAAAGTTTCCAAAACACATTAGTACATATTTTTAAAGAAAGGCATCCATTCTCAAAATCGACCGATTTTTTTAAATTTATAGTTCAACAAAAAGTCTTAATTCTTTAAAACTTGAGACAATTGTGTTATTATATTTATATAATTATACTGCGGCCCTAGAAATGTAACTCACGGTTACGGTTTCAGAGTTTAAAAAAAAAAAACTTAATGAAAATTAAACACAATAACCGAACAATGGTCATAATTTCTTTAAAGCTCTTTAGGTTGCACTTAAAAGCTCGATATTTCCAAACAATGAGCTATTTTTTAAATATTTTTCAAGACAATTAAGGTCAATATTAAAAACCAGTTTTGACTATAGTTTCAGCGCTGTATACGTATTTTATATTTTATTTCCTTTATTTAATTGTTTTTTATTTATTTGTATGTTTGATTTTGTACAGTATTTTATTAACAAACTACAAAGTTCAAGACATTATCTCTGTTGTAAATATATAAACATACACATTCACTTACATGCGATTCTAATACATATTTTCCTAAGTAATACAAAATTTTTGAAAAAAAAAATCAATTCGATATTTTATTTAAGGGGGTATTCTACTGTAGAAGCATGAATTTTGCCCGGTTTTTAAAGCGCTGTATAAAGAAAACAAATGATATTTTTACTATCGATTTTTTTATCATTTGTTTATTGATATTTTATTATTCCATAAAAAAAATTATTAAAGAAAAAAATTAGAATTTACAAAGTTATGAGCAGTCAAAGTGGGAGCTCAAAAAAAAAGAGGGTGTCCTGGCGTGCATGATTCCAACCCTCCTGGTGATCCGAAACATAAAAAAAAGATGGATTCTTAATTATTATAGATGTCGCTATCGTATGAACCTTGGATAAGCCAAAAAAAACTTTTTGTTTGAATGGCGGCAGTTTGAAAAAAAAAATTTTTTTTCATGTTTTTTTTAACAATTCCGAATTTTTTAAAAATACTTAATGAAAAGTTATAGTTTTGGTAGAGGTCCATGCGATAAAGCAATGTATAGAGAAGATCCTCTCCAAATTTGAAGTAAATCGGTTCATTAGAACTCGAGATATCCTTACCGCCAGCTCGAAAAAAGTAGTTCCGAGAAAAACGCGTTCAAAGTTTTGAGACTCGGTCGGACCCGAACCGAGACCACGTCACTAAAGCGGCTATAACTCAGGAAATAATAGTAATTTTGAAAAATCCTTTTAATGACATATTTTTGAATAACTAAACTTTGAAAATATGAAAAAAAAAATGTTTCGACTTTTTCAAAATTCTACAGTAGAATACCCCCTTAACATGTTAATCGCCATGTCAGTCATATTTGTCACACGCTAAGAAATCCTACTTGTTTAATTGTTAATATTATAAAAATGGCACATATTTTTTTAAATACGTGAGATTATAATATAATAATAATTTATAGTAACATTTAGTTTTTGGGAACTTGATAGATAGTAACAGTTTTTTTTAATAAGTTATTTTATAAAAGAAATATGAATTTTATGATAATCTTACCCATTGAATATTCGCAAATAGTTTTGCTGGTTGGTTCTTGGAATAAATCTGATGCATGTGTAATAATGATATTGCTCTATGGCTTGCCTTACAATGTATTCCACACTACCTGAAATTAAGTACATATTTATTAAAAAACAATTAAACAAAACTAATTAGTACATTATTTAAAAATATCTTAGAAAAATCTTAAATTTAAATATTCTTATAAAGTTTAAATTTTAAATATTCAAATAAATTTATGAAGAAAATTTTAAAATAATTCAATAAGTTATATATATTATAATTAATATTATTTCTAAACATTTATATATGGTGGTCAATTTTCAGATAAAATAGAAATTTTACAGTAATGCTATGTTACGGATCTATCTTCGTATGAGTTAGTAGTGACAAGCTGTCAAAGAGTTGTGTATTTGCTGTGCGATCAGGTATTTTACATATAAAATCTAATCTATAAAACTCACTAACGTTAACTAGCAATTTTATTATAAGTGCAAATTTTTGATGACTCCTTGATAACACATACATGGAGTTAGGTTTTATGAATGAGGGGTAATTAAAACATATTTTATCATTTATATGGACGACTTAACTCTGTATAAGGAAAATGAAGCTATAACTAAATTATTTTTTTTCCAACAAATGCATTATTATAGATATAGTATGGGAAATACTCAAGAAAAAAGTCAGATTTCAAATGGATTAAATGAATGAAATCATTCGAAAGCCATTCGATTCGCATTGACAGTAATAATAGGAAATCCGCTTTTGGTAAAGACTGATACGGTTTGAAATGAGAAATTGATTGAATTTAATGACCGTTCGTAAAATCAGTTTAACACTTTTTGTAGGATTTGTGCCGATAATGACTTTATCGGAATAATAGAACCGTAACTTTATTTAAATTTAGAAAATTTAAAAATTGATAATGACGAATAAAGTCTATACTCTATTAAACCAAAAATTTATAAATCCTAATACTGATAAAATATAATTTCCAAATTTAATTATTAAAACTAAGAATTTTGTTTTTAGTTTCAACAGTAATCAGAACAATTTCAAGCAAAAAAATTATGAATTGAGACAATTCTAATAGTGATGTAAATAAATAAAAGTTTTAAAAAGTTCTTGAGGTTTATCAATCCATATTTGTTTATTTTCATCGCAAAAGCAATTTTTTTAAAATTATGCTTTTACTTTTTAATATCTTCAAAACAAATTTTAACTACAACACTCAATTTTAATTAGTGGTAAATATTAGTTAATGCAAAAGGGGTGTACAATAATTACAATGATGAATTTTTAAGGATTTGTGGACACCTCCTTCCCTTCTTCTCTTACGCCACTTCACGTGCATTTTCAGTACTTAAAATAGTTAAAATAACAACAAATTTTTGGATTTTTATTAAAATTTTTTGGAAAATGATATCTTACTAAATTTTCCCTTCCTACGTGATATTTTGTGATTTTTTTTTAAACTTCTCCCCACTTTTTAGGCCTCAAGTGTAGCCTCTACTGTATTTTATTATAAATCAAAATTAGTAAAGGCCAAAACTTTTATTTTGAACTATTCAGTGATAGGCCACATTTTGTTTTAAACCAATTTCAATACAACATCCCAATTTTATTTAGCGGTGAATAATTAGGTAATAACTAGTGGGGTGCATGGCATCGTGCCTTAAGGCAAATTTCTGGAACTACCCATACCGTAATTAAAAATCTTGGTACGGAATCCAAAAAAAATTATACAAAATGTGTACACATTATTAAAATCTATATAAAATATCTATTATCTAATATTTTTGACCGCAAAATGATTTTTTTTAACTTATTTTGATTGGGAGTCCATAACCGCTGGACCTGCTTTCCCAAAAATTTAACCAGTTTTTCATCTTGTCAATGCAAGTAAAATGTTTCTTGAATTATTAACCTCGGACGCTCCGTTCTCGTAAAAACTGATTTACCGTTTTTGGCACCTTTTGTGCCGTATCTTCGAAACGGTTAGACCTGCCTTTGCCAAAAACTAATCAGCATGTCTCCTTATCAATACGAATCGAATGATTTTTGAATTATTCAAATCGGTTGATCGGTGTTCCGGAAATCGTCGACAAAAATTTGTATCTGCACACACACATATATCCATTTTTTCTAAGGTATGTCAAAATGTTCAAAAACCTTTGAAACGTAGAGATATATAAAAATTTTCATTTTCGATTTTTTTGCGATTACTATAACTTACCTTATGGGAAGTTAATAAGAATATTTCAAACTTAGCAAAGAGTTTTTTTAATTGTAAATGATTATTGATGATTTTATCTGGAAAAGAATTTCAAATACAACGCTCTACTTTTAATTAGTGGTAACTGGTGATATTAGTCAATCCTAAAAATAAATGAAAATTATTGAAGGCCGAAATCATCATTATCTGAGTTGTTTAATGATACGCCAACATTTCGTTTTGATTCTGTATTTTATGTTTGTTTTTATTGTGATGAACCTCTTCTGATAAGTAATCCTCTTGGGAATGGAAATGTAGATACGGCAAAGTATTAAACACGTTTCGTCAGTAATGGAATGAGGATTACATGAAATTACTGTTTACTAAATCACTACATCAAGTGCTCAATCTGTAGGGATCAGGATCAGGCGAGAAGGGATCGAGCCCTGGCTCGGCAGCAATTAAAGAATAAATCTGAGTGCTAAGGGACTGTGTTTAAAGAATTTACATCGAAATGAAAATAGTAAGAATTGAACCTATTAAATTTATAATGATAAGGGCTTCATTTCCAATGCACCGGATAACTGTGTTGGCGGTCATTTGCAGATCATCAGCCATCACCAGCGAGCACCTAAGGTAGGGCGGGGCACAAAGGTCTAATTTAATTTTCATAGCAATTATATTCTGAACAAAAATCACATATCAAACAAACAACTATCTTTATATGTTCAACAAACTCCTTGCTGATTCATCATTGCAGAAATGTGTTTCTTTCGCTGTTTTCCAAAAATTTGTGATTTTTTTTTATCCTATAGGTGGGATAAATTGGAACGGGCAGGGGCCAAACAATTGCATATAATATTTACTTGTGATTTAAGCTATGTATGGCATGATATTTAACGTTATCTATAGAGATGATTATATTACATATTATATATATATATTAAATATTAGATGAATATTTATTTTTAATAGAAAAATATTTTATACTTACGTAATGATGGATCTATCATAAATGGAATTACACCATTTGGCCATAGAGCTGCCCTATTTAATATAGCAGATTTGCCCTAGAATAATCAAAGTACAGAAATATTTATACACCTATTACGGTCATGAACTAAAAACATAATTAAATGTATATTTTCTGTAATATTTTTTAATGAAACAATTGATAAAATGGTTAACGTATAGATGCAATAAACAGCTTTATTATTAATCACCATTAATACCATTTTCTTCGTGCTTTGATCAATCATTGAATTTAATAAACATT